AAAAAAAAACTTTCCACATTTTTCTTCTCTCACATTTCTTTGTAGACTCTACTGCGAGTTCACCCTCCTGTACCCAAAACTCTAAATATTAGTGTTCTAAAGGGAAAACTTAACGATTTTCATTTCTCATACTATAGTCTCTCCCTTGGTGGTCTTTTTGCTTCATCATGGCCACAACTGCAATCTAAAAATAAGTAAATGACTTCCATATTATCTCTAGTGCAGACCTCTCTTCTAAGTCCTAGGTCTCTATATCCAACTGCCTACTGATATTACCGTGTGATGACAAGGCAGCTTAAACTCAACAGATCCAAAACTGAACTCATGGTCTCCCTGGACATTATTCAAAACTAGATTCACAATCCATGTTCAGTCAAACCCTAGTTCATCTCTAGTATTTTGTGTTGTTGGTGAATGAATGGCATTACCATCCATCCAAGGTGCATGAGGCAGAAGTCTAGAAGTTATCCTTTATAACCTTCCTCTTCCTCCCTCTCCAAATCTAATTTATTCCAATTTCCATTTATGGATATTATTTTATTAATTTCTATTTTTTACATTAATACCAAAATAATCTCCTTTGCTAGTTTCATTCCTCTACTGCCCATATTACTGCTATAATGTTAAGGTCTCTATCAACTGAAACTTTAGACTTTACATCTTTCCTGTTCTTCCCTCCCTTGCATCTCAACAATCTAATGTATAATGCCTTCTAAATATTCTACCTCTTCTAGCCACAAAATCTACTTTATAATATCTGCATGTGATTATTCTTTCCCATCCCTCTTCCCTAGCCAAGTCATGTTTTCTTTTTTTTTTTTTTCTCTCAAAACTCCTCTTGGAGTGGCACCCGGGTGGCTCAGTGGGTTAAGCCTCTGCCTTCGGCTCAAGTCATGATCTCAGGGTCCTGGGATCGAGCCCCATGTGGGGCTGTCTGCTCAGCAGGGAGCCTGCTTCCCCTCTCTCTCTGCCTGCCTCTCTGCCTACTTGTGATCTCTCTCTCCATCAAATAAATATATAAATAATCTTTAAAAAAAAAAAAAAACTCTTGGAATCCTTCACTCTTTAATTCCATCCAATATAACTCTTTATGGGGGGGGGGAGGTTACACATTCAGGGCCATAATTTATTTAACCCAGTCATCTCTCTTTGACAGCAACACCTACAGAACATTTAATAGTTTTCCTCCCATAGTCCTCAAAATCTGCCATTATCCAAATAAACTATTTCCTTTAATGATACAAGTACCACATCCATGTATACATGTTTTATTTATCTTTTATTAACATGTATATGTTATCAACCTTTTGTTTCATAAGATTATGAATTTCACAACTTTAACACAAATCATTTTGTGTTTCTTCATTTGTTCTGAACTTTCTTCATTTGTTCTGAAATCCCTCTCCCAAGTATCAAAGTGGTCCTCTCATTTCAGCATCTTCTCATTTGATGAACAAGTTGATAGTTTTCTCACCCATATCCTTTGTGATTTTATTTATTTTTTTAAAGATTTTATTTATTTATTTATTTATTTATTTGTCAGATAGAGAGAGAGAGCATGCACAAGCAGGCAGAGGCAGAGAGGCAGAGCAGGCTCCCTGCTGAGCAAGGAGCCCGATGTGGGACTCGATCCCAGAACCCTGGGATCATGATCTGAGCCGAAGATAGCCGCTTAACCGACTGAGCCACCCAGGCTTTGTGATTTTAAAGGAATCCTAAAAATCCTTTGTGATTTTAAAGGAATACAAAAATAAATACAGCATGAATCATGTCCTTATACTCTGCTTAAAGGGCATGATCCAGCTGTATTAATATTTGTATCCCTAGTTTCCACAATATGTCTCACAAAGAGAAGGTGCTCAATACATGCTCAACAGACTCAAAGAATTTTGCTTAGGGCTGATGTTGTAATGTTCATGAGTGCCAAAAAGAAAGCAGAACTTCTCAAATGTGTGAACTCTGCTTTTTTTTTCCCCCCCCGAGAAAAACAGTATTTGGACTAAAAAAGGGTAGAAAGAATGGATGCCCAGTATAGGTGAGAAGACTGTAACACAGCACCTTGCTGCTCTAAATGAAATGAAGCTCCTCGTGAATGTGATCACTGCATCACTGCCAGTGGAGGAAGCATGGAGACCTGGAAGGTTGCCAAAGACTGGAAACAAGCAAATAAATGTAGATCTGATTTTTTCTAATAGAAAATAAAAGAGAAAAGAATAGAATTGACAATAATAGTCAAGTATACTTGGCATCAGTTCTTTCCTAAAATCAGATTATTTATTTAAAAAGCAGCTTCTAATCACTTTGAAACAAAAATGGTAAGCATTTGTGGAACCAACTTAAGTAACCAGACAAATATAATTTCCTTTCTTTTTTTTTAAAGGCTGTCTTTATATACAGATCACATATCAAAAAGAAGCAATAAAAATAGTATCAGATTTCAACAAGGTAGAATTTCAACAAGGTATATGACCAGGCTCTCATTACACCATATGGTAAGATAAATATAAGATGAGAACAGTACAGTTAAATGCTGGCTAATTACCTAAATGACCATAACAATGAGTGTTTCTTAATGAAGTGCCATCAACTTGAAGGTCAGTTCTACCCGCAGGGTTCAGAACTCCTATCTGTGGTCCTCTCCTATTCAACAATTTTATCAGTAATTTGAATGAAGATGTAAAAGGCTACTATACTGCTGCCTTTATCCAATATATGGCTGACAGGAAACTAAGGGGCACCAATATGTATTAAGAAAGAGCTGGGATCTGAAAAAGCAATGATAAGCCAGGTAAGCGGGCTAATTCTAATTAAGATGAAATTTAACAGGGAAAAATATCTAAGACATCAATCACTATCCAAAAAACAAAATATATATAGAACTGTGAGATGGGCAAGTCCCATGACTTATTGACACATATGTAAAACAAACAAAAAGGGGGCTTAATAGCTCTTGACAGCAATCTTAGTTCAATCTGACAGCAGCAAGCTCAATATGATGAGGATCTCAGAAAAGCTAATGTGATGCTAGATGCAGCAGTAACAGTATTTCAAACATGGGAGGCAGCAGTCCTGCTCAATTCTGGACTGATCTGACAACTGGGATGTTGTGTATCCTTCTAAGGGTCACAGTCTTCAGAGGATCATAACCATACTGGCACATGTCCAGAAGAGAACCACCAGGATGCTCAGGACCCTGGATACCATTCCACAAAAGGAGAGGGAGGAGAGAAAGGAGATTTATAAATAGGACAAAACAGTGCCTTGAGAGGAAAATGATGGCTACTTTCACTCAGTCACTCAATGAACATGAATTTCAAATCTATTTCAGGCCAGATGCTGTAACAATGTCTGGGAATACCGAGAGAAGTGAGTCTATGTCCATGGCATGTTCCTATGTATATCTGAAGAGCTGAAAAAGCCATGATCTGAAAAAGGATTAGACTGTTCTATATGATTTCATAAGGTAGGAATAAGACCGGTGGAAAGAAGTTAGAAAGTAACTGATTTCAGCTCCAAATGAGAGTATTTTAGGAATCAAAGATGACTTAAGAAGCTACCTGAGAAGGCAGCAAGGTTCCCATTCCCATCAGGAATGTTGTACTTAGTGGAGAGACTGCTGAAATAAGACAGGCACTGAACTGACCATCTTTAATGTTCCTCGTATTCGATACTAGGACTCTACACTTCCCTAGGAAATGGACTCTCACCAGATTCACCGTACTTGTGCACTTCAGCATCACAGCTTTCCTACAGTTGCTACTTCCAACTTTGTACCCTATCTTCCCCTGAAATGATGCTTTATAATGGGGAACGGTCTGAGAGCAATAGGAATAAGGAACTACGGGAAAAAACTGAACCATCAGCACACAGAACACAAAAAAAATCAATATTGTTCAATGTACAGAAAATATAGGAATTCTTTATACTTTAAGTCGTAAATTCAATTTAAAATACCTCACTATGTTCAATTAACGTAAACAAGGACTTGTCATGTACTGCATCTCTTGTTGGGAGCCATTTTTTCTTAACCAACAAGGAAAAAACAATTTTAACTTTAAGATCACTTTGAGAATTTGTGTCCTGAATAAACACTCCAAAAACCTCCATTATAAGGGTATGTGAAACTAAGTTTATAACAGATTGCTTTTAGAAATGATTTATTGGATATAGCAGGCCTAATATAATGAACTAATCAAATTGTGGAATTCTGATTAAATGGCTACTTAAGTTTAATCCATTTGAAAACACACACACACACACACACACACACACAGGCAAGATAAACACCGAGAAAAGGCCTAGCCCATTTAGTTCTGGCTTTTGTAAATTGGTTTAATATCATTAAAGCTTACTTCCGTTCATTTTATTTTGTAATTTTAAAAGCGTCTCCTATATTGGCTCTGTATATACCCAGTTACAGCCGGGTGCTGAAGGAGTTCATCCTTCCAAACTGTTAATATTAACTTCTTGGAAGCTGTCCCTTACACTTTAGTGCTTTCTCCATTTGGATACAATAAATGGACCACAATTCGATTACCAAGGGCTCTTTCTTTTAAAGAGCAGCCTGGAAAAGACAAAACAGAAAAAAAAAGAGGAGCATGTTTAACCAGCAGCCCTGAAAAAACGCTTCCCCTCTGGTTGTCAACTCTTCACGGCGCTCTACCATTTCTCAACACACTGCCTGGTCCTCTCCGATAAAAAAGAAAAAGAAACAAAAACTGATTCCAGTTTTCCTGGGACAGGGAGATCCCCTTTTGTAGAAGTGGCTAAAGCGAGGCTCCCCGTGGGATTTCATCTCGTAGCCAAGGCAGTGCCAACCGAGGCGTCCGACACCAGGGCAGCGCCCGCCCGCCCGGAGCCCAAGGTGGCCCCAGCTGGCAACCGAACAGCCCCGGCGGAGCCCAGAGCCGCCGGGGCCGCAGGGTCCCAGCCGCGACCCCGAACAGCCTCGCGAGCGCCCCGGGACGGTGGCGAAGGCGGGGAGACGCGGCTCGACTTACAGTGACACCATCCTAGGTGACAGCACCAGTGCAGCTTGAAGCACTTGCCGTGGCTGTGCGTGGCACAGATGGAAAGCCCGTCGCACGGCTGGAAGTCGGGTCTGCGGGCAGCGCAACTCCGTGCCAGGGCCTGAGCCTCATCCACTTTCTCGCTCTTCCAGCCCCGCTCGGGTGCCGACGCCGACGCCGCACTCATTTCCGCTCCCTCAGCCGAGCCGAGGCCGGGAGCCCGGGAGAAGCGGCGTCTGGGCGGGCAGGAAGCCGAGCCGGCTGCAGACGTGGGAGGGCGCGGGCCGGGAGTCACGCCAGCGCGCGTGGCGGCGGCAGCGGTGCTGGTGGTGATGGTGATGGTGGCGGCGGCGGCGGCGGGAGCGCGGAGGTCCCAGGCTCGCAGAGGAGCCGCCCCGGGCGCTGCGACCGGGGGGCTGGGCCTGCCGCCGCCTGCCTCCCTCCGCCGCGGCGCGCACCGCGTCCCCACGCGCACACGCACGCGCACACAAGCGCGCGTGCCGACCGCCCCGGCTGGCGCCAAGCGTCGGTCAGCGAACCCGGCCTCTTCACACACGCTGTCGGCGTCCCCTCTTGTCACAGCGAGTCCCTGACACACACTCACTCATTCCTCCGAGACCCACCCCGACCGACGCACGGCCATTAGTGAACATACAAGCGCCTCGGCGGCTTGGCATTCACAGGCACGGCAGCTTACACGCGCGCTTCCCACACACACTTCCCGCCGAGGTGGGCAGTCTCGAGAACTCCGCCGAGGGCTGTGCACGCAGAGGACACGCCCACCCTAAGCGCTCGGTGGGCTGGTCCCTGCGCCTCTGTCTGCGGGGTTCTCTCATACACACATCCTCTCCCCACACGCGGCTCACATTTCCCTCGTACACTCCTCCCAGAGTAGACACTGAGACCCCTCGGAGGCGCGCGCGCGTTCACGGCCGCGCGCACTCTCCCCCCCGCCCCCCCAGGGCAAGCCTCCTGCTCCGGGCGCGGCCACTCCGCCACGTGGCAGGGGCCCAAGCCTCCAGGCCTGGGCCACCGCGCCCGTGGGAACCATTGCCCGCTGGCCCTGAGGACGCCCTGGCGCCCCAGCCCCAGTCTCCATGGGGGTGCAGCCCCACCTTGCTGAGCAGGAAAATAAAGCCCGTTTGTGTGTGTGTGTGTGTGGGTGGGTGGGTGGGTGGGTGTGTGTGTCAGGGCGGGAGAGAGAGAGATGCATTTGTGTGCACAGGACTAGTGTGTGGAATGTGTTGCATGGGTGTGTAGTTTGGTGTGTATATGGTATGTGGGTGTGTATGAATGTTACTTTGGGTATGTATGGTGTGTGTGTGTGTGTGTAGCTGGATGTGTTAAGTGTGTACATGGTATATGTGGAATGTGTGCAGTGTGCATGGTGCACAGTGTGTGATGAGGTGTGTGTATACAGGAGAACATAGTATGGATGGATATACGGATGCAGAGTGTGGGTGGTGTGTATGTTTGTGTAGTAGAGTATATGTGGTCTGTGTCCTATGTGCAGTTGCGTATGCATGTACACAGTGTGCGGGTGGATGTGGTTACATGTGTTTTGTGTATATGAGCACAGGATGTGCTTACATAAGTATTGATGTATGTGTGTGGGATGTGTGCCGTTATGGCACCTGGGACTGGTAGGTCAAGTATGTGTGCACAGTGCATCTATGGGTAGAATTGGGTGTGTGTGGTATATGTGGGTGTGGGCACACAAACAGGACTCCTGTCTGCCAAGGACTCTTGTGTGTGGCTTTGTGCATTAATGCCTGCCCTGGCCATTGGGTGTGACTGGCCAGGATGGTGGCTGCGGTTCCTGCACACTATCAGCTTGCCTTCTTCCCTCCTGGGGACAAGCTGCTCCAAATAGATTTTCCATGCCAGGCTCAGCTGCTGAGAGCCCACCCCGGGCTGGATTCAGTGAAGAGAAAACAAACCATTTGCTCTCGGGGAGCATGGTTGGGAATTAGTGTTTCCCTGCAACAAGGCGAGACCTGGCCTTGAACACAGAAAAGGAAGGGACCTACTCTTCTTATTTGCCAACTGTTTTTCAGAGCAAAGGAAAATGCCTGTAATTGCCAAGGTTCAGGGAACAACAACAAAGCCTTTTGGTACAAATGCTGTGTGGGAACATGTTTATGCCCAGGTCCACTTTCTCCGTTACTTTATTCCCTTCCTGCTTTGCACTGACAAGGAGACTCATCATGGTTTTGAAATAACAAAATTCATCTTCAAGCACTGAAAATCCTTGCTGCCATAAGCAATCTTTCATAATTTTCCCTTTTATTTAACCTTGGCTCAAGAAGGGAAATGTAATTTGCATATATCTGACTCTAGTGAAGTCTTCATTTGTTAGGGGTTAGGGAGAGACTCAATTTGGTGGGAATGGAATTTTCAAGAAAGATCCGAATCAAAATCACAAAATATGCTTCTCCCAAAACCTAATACTGAAACAGCTATAAATATGAAACATCATCTCTTCAGCTTCAGCCCCAGGCGTCCCTCTCCGGAAAAAAATCCTAATGAAATACATCCCTGACTCATAAAATCTATCTGTTCTGGCTATTAATTTCACAGACTGACACACCTCAGAATAACAAGAGTTAAAGGAAAACTTAATCAAATAAATCCATAATCCATTATTGCTGTAGCAAGCCAACCCAGAATTTTTTTAACAAGTGGGGAGTCCCATCTCTATCTTATTTCTCTCCTTCCCTAACCCATAAGCATTCTAATACTACCCATATTATATAAGGCCTTGTAACAGAATCTTTACAGCATTCCGCTAATATTTAAACAGCATCCTTCCCCTGCCTTCCACTCTAGGCTGAAACACGTTAGAAGTTTCTGCTATATGAAACCATACCATATCAGCTAGTGAAAAATGAGCATGAGAAATAATGCAATATAGCACTTTAACCAGGAGGCAAGGTAAATTACCCAAATACCCTATTTTATGTTAGCCACATTATTTGAAGCTGAGAAGCCTTTATATTTTCTATAACACAAAACTCATTCTATCCCCTTGCCCCAAAGGTGCCATTAACCTCTACTGTCTGCAGTGGAGCTGGAGGAAATAAATGTCCTGTGACCTCTCAAACATATATACATATACCCTTCAAGATGTGTTGTCAGGATACAAGTTTTTAAAGTATTATTATGGAAAATATGCACAAAAGAAGAGATGCTAGTATAATCAACTTTCTTGAACCCATTGCCTGGTTTCAATAATGATTAACTCATTCTTGTTTCATTTTTAGCTCCTCCCACTCATACCCCCACCTTGCCACTGGTTTATTTTGAAGCAAATCCCAGACATCAAATAATTTCATCCATAAATATTTTTGCATTTATCTCTAAAACCATAACCCACAACATCATTATTACATAATAAGATATACTTTGATCATATACAGGTACTTGTCCCATTGGTGCTAACCGCCTCTCCACTTCCCCTTTTTGAAAGCTACCCTTCTGTCTGGAATTTTCCTCTTTCCTTCTCTTCCTGTCCTGCCTGCCTTTTCAGTGTATGCGCTACTTCCTCAAAGAAGCTTTCTCTGACCAACCTAAACTCTTACATACATTCTCTCTTCGTATAACTTTAAACACACAATTAAAGAGGGAATTATTGAACTAATATCTTTCCCCATTCTTCCCCTCCCCTGCCACAAACTGTAAACTCCTTGAGGGCAGAAGCAACATGATCTCTGTCTTGTTCACTATCTTGTTCCCAGTTCTAAGCACAGAGAATAAGTAATTGTTAAAGTTGTGAAAATTATTCCACCTCAGACTCCCAAAGGCTGGAAAAAGTCCATCTACAGTAAATTGTTTGCAAATATGCGTGAATAATTTGTATAATCACTCTTCTTATAATCATACCGTTGGATATTCCCCCACTGACTCTGAACTTAGTTATGGGTATTAGCTATTTATCTACATAACAATTCACTACTAAGTTAAAACAACTCCATTTTTCTGGGTCAAGACCCCAGGCATAACTTAGGTAGGTCCTCTGCTTCCAAGTTTCTCACAGGACCGCAGTGAAGGTGTGGGGCATGGCTGCTTTGTCACCTAGAGGCTCAGCTGGGGTTGGGTCTGCTTCCAAGTTCACTCACTCACGGTTTGTTGGCAGGATTCATTTCCTCAAGGAACTGTTGGGCTGAGGGTCTCGGTTCCTCATGATTATTGGCTAGAGAACTCCCTCAGTTCCTTGTCACACGAACTTCTCAATAGGGCAGTTCACACATGGCAACTTGCTTTACTGGAGCAAGCAGGCAGAAAGAGTCAAAGAGAGTGTCACGGTCTTTTACAACCTAATCTTGGAAGTGATAGCCTATCACTTTTCCTGAATTCTATTCATTAGCAGAAAGTCCTAAACTCCATCTCTTATGCAGGGAAAGGAGAATACACAAAGACATGAATATCAGGAGGTAGGAATTCATGGGAGCCACATCATGTGACTCGCTTTAACCAATGAGAGAATAATAAACTTGCCATTGCAAAGATTTCCAAAGAGCATGCTCAGTGGAGTTCCTTTCTTTCTGTGCTTGGAACCCTGAGAGCACCAGGTGTACAAGACCGATGGAGGGCGAAATGCCTTATGGAGGAAAAGGAAGGTGCCCCATTCAATAAGCAGCCAATCTCTAGCCAATCAATGGTCTACCAACCACCAGAACTATCAATGAGGCCCTGCTAGACCATCCTAGACCCACTAGCTGATCACAGAAGCATGAGAAAGTCCAGCAGAAATCTACTGAGCTAGTTATGACCTGAACAGCCACGAGGGCACTCTACAGAATCAGGAGCTACATAAAGCAGTTGCTGTAAAAACCTGCTGTTTTGGATGGTCTCTTACAGAGTAAAAGCTAACTGACACACCCACTGATCTTCTCTTGTTGTAGGCAAAGTAATTGAGGATTCAAGAGGCTAAGTGACTTGCTTATGTCACAGTGCAGCAGGCATAGTGGGAAAAGTTCTCTAGGACCTGGCATCGGAAAAATGCAGATGGCTCAAGTCTAAGCTCTGCTGTTTCCTGGCTGGGAGACCTTGGCAGATCCCTTATGCTTTCTGGGCGTCAGTTTCTTTATCAGCAAAGCAAAACAGAAGGTTTCCCAGGACATCTTCTTTCACACAAAGCTCTGACTTGTCCATTTGGATATGGATGGAGCTAGGGTTAAAATCCTTTTGGTCCTGATGTCATTTGTGAATGATCATATTCTGCCTTCCTATTCTATTGCACATATTTGTCTAATGCTACTGTAAGATATATCTATGTACACCAACAATTCTGAACACTTTGATAGATCAAGCCATTACAAATCAGTTATGTTTTGGTTGCCTGATTGAACGGAGCAACTAATTGCATCATAGTTATAAATAACCTGCTAGTAATTGGTCAATTTGTCATATTAAAGCAATTAAAATGATGAAGTAGTTGGAGAAGCTTCCAAATGAGGAGCAAGTAAATGAGGAGTCTTCTGTGGGGAGGGAGGACCCGACACCTCTGTGGTATTGTCACAGGCATAAGTCAGACCCTCGCAAAGGAAAGAAGGGCAGCTTTAGAATCAGGCAGAATGGAATCAAAGCTCAGCTCCACTACCACCTAGCGGGGTGATCTTAGGCAAGTTACTTGGCCTCGTTTCTTAAATGAGAATTAGAATTCCTACCTCATACACTTGCAGTGAACACTAAACATGACCACGTATGTCAAGAGCCTAGCACTGTATC